GCGTGTTGGAGGCCTCTTGTCCGGTCGGGTACCCCGTCTAAGCTCGCTCGTGGAGCCGTCTTGAGAGTTTCTGGGGTCGTCTTGGAAGCCTCTCGGGCAGTCTTGGGGCTGTGTGGCGGCCTTGTTGGACCGTCGTGGTGCCGTCTCGGGGGCCTTTTGGGCCGTCTCGGGGCGGTCTTAGGGACCTCTGAGTCGTCTTGGAGCGTCGGGGATGTGAACAAGCGCGAATCCTGAAAACCTTCGAAAACCATTGGAAAAAAAAACAGATTTTTGCATCTTTGGCCTCTCCGCTCCTGGGAGGCCTCTTGGAGGCCCGTTGGGGCGTGTTGGAGGCCTCTTGGAGGCCCGTTGGGGCCTCTTGGAGGGCTCTTGGATCAGTTTGGAGGCCACTCGGGCCGTCTTGGAGGCATCTTGGGCGAAGTTGGCCCTGAATGTCCGGTCGGGTACCCCGTCTAAGCTCGCTCGTGGAGCCGTCTTGAGAGCCTATGGGGTCGTCTTGGAAGCCTCTTGAGCCGTCTTGGGGCCGTGTGGCGGCCCTGTTGGGCCGTCCTGGTGCCGTCTCGGGGGCCTTTTGGGCCGTCTCGGGGCGGTCTTAGGGACCTTTGGGGCCGTCTTGGAGCGTCGGGGATGTGAAAAAGCGCAAATCCTGAAAACCTTCGAAAACCATTGAACCATCAATGATTTTTGCCTCTTTGGCCTCTGCTGGGAGGCCTCTTGGAGGCCCGTTGGGGCGTGTTGGAGGCCTCTTGGAGGCCCGTTTGGGCCTCTTGGAGGGCTCTTGGATCGGTTTGGAGGCCACTCGGGCCGTCTTGGAGGCATATTGGGCGAGGTTGGAGGCCTCTGGATCCCTCCGGAGCCGGTTTGGAGGTCATTGTGGACGGTTTTGAGCTATCTTGAGGCCACTGCAAAATCCGCCAGCGCAGTTTCAAAGTGCGGCGCGTACCCAATGATTAATTTTTACCACCAACAAGCGGTCCACGCCAGGGGCGCTTCCCGTCATCCGCCGCCGCGCTTGTGCGGCACTGGCGTGCTGTGTGGTAGGGTTTGTGGAAGGTCCTTGAGCGCGCCGAGGCCCTTTAATTATCCCAGTGCGACCCTACCTAGGAGTTGGAGCCTCTAGGAAAGCAACATTAGTAGGAGCGGTAAACGCCGTCCCCCTCCTTCTCCTCATCGTCATAGTTATGCTATGCTATGCTATGATATGCTACGCTGCGCAATGCTTTGCTGGGCTAGGCTAGGCTAGGCTAGGCTATGCTATGCTATGCTATGCTATGCTGCGCTATGCTATGCTATGCTATGTTTTTGCTTAGCCTTCGCTTTTGCCTTCACTTTTGCCTTTGCTTTTGCTTTTGCTTGGCACCCAGGGAGCGCAACTGGGGGAACCGCGCGTTTGCTTTTACCTTTGCTGTTGCTTTTGCTTGGCTCCCAGGGGACCGGGGGAACCGCCCAGGGCGCATTACACTGCCCGGCCCTTTAAGCAAAGCGAGTAAGAACACTTCTAGGCAGAGCCTAGGTAGGGAACAATATTCCGGGGAAACGGGATTTCGGTTGGGCTTTTATCAAAATGCTGCTCTCGCTGATGCGCTGGCCTCATTTTCGGGCAACCGCTTGCTCCGAATCGTGCTCCCGCTGCAGCGCTGGCCTCACTTCCGCGCTTCCGCTCGTTCCGAATCGTGCTCCCGCTGCAGCGCTGGCGTCAATATATCTAGCGCAATGCCGCGGCATGGTTTTCGGTCCTTCCAAATCGGCCCCAACATCAAGAGAATGGCCCCCCCGAAGAAACCATCGGAAGTGATTACACATTCGGTGCAGGTTCGTTGATTTTCGGGGCCGCAAAAGCCATCCCCCACTTCGGAGCGTCGCCACGCCATGTTATGTCAAGCTACGCGTCCTCATTTCCGCGCTGCCGCGCTTTTTTTACTATGCTCTGCTATGCTATGCTATGTTGCGCTGTGCTATGCTGTGCTTGCTGCGCTATGCTATGCTATGCTATGCTGCGCCATGCTATGCTATGCTGGGCTATGCTAGGATATGCTGTGCTGCGCTATGCTATGCTACGCTATGCTATGATGTGCTCTGATATGCTACAGCTCAGCGAAGCTAAGATGAAGGTAAGCTAAGCTAAGATAAACCTGAGCTAAGATGAAGCTAAGCTAAGTTAAGATGAAATAAGTTAAGCTAATATGAGATAAGCGACGCTAACCTAAGGGGACGTAACTGGGGGAACCGCGGGGCGGATACTGGGGGAACCGCCCGGGGCGCTTTCCATTGCCTGGCCCCTTTTAGCCTAGAGAGTAAGAGCCCTTCTAGGCAGAGCCTAGGTAGGGAATTGTGCGCGCCTTGAGGCAGTTTCCCCTGAACCCAGGCTTTGGGCACGGATGCCGGATTGCAGCAGGCAGCTGGATTGTCAATGAACGTGTTCAGACACAGCCCCGCCGCAGGCGCCGATGTGCTGTTGTAGAGTCAGCGTGGGCCGGATCGGGGGAATGGCACGAGGGCGCTTTCCCCAACCAAAGCGAGCAAGCCCGCCGCAGGCACCGATTTGCATGCTCTGACAAGTTCAGCGCGGGGTGGATCGCTGGTGGGCCACCCGGAACGCATGCAAAAACAGCCCGCCGCAGGCGCCGAAGTTTTGGCTTGTTCAGTGAGCGTAGTTTGGGTCGAGGGTGGGTCGCGGGCTCTCCATCTCCACCTGGAAGGAATTCAAAAACAGCCCGCCGCAGGCGTCGAAAACTATGATTTGTACACTGAACGTGGTTTGGGCCGCAGGGCTTCCACCTCGAACGAATGCAACAGAAGCCCGCCGCAGGCGCCGAAGTCTTGGCTTGTTCAATGAACGTAGTTTGGGTCGCGGGTGGGTCGCGGGCTCTCCACCTCCAACTGGAAGGAGTTCAAAAACAGCCCGCCGCAAGCGCCGAAAACTAGGATTTGTATACTGAGCGCGGTTTTGGTCGCGGGTGGGTCGCAGGTTCTCCACTTGGAACGAATGCAACAGAAGCCCGGCGCAGGCGCCGAAAATTTTGGGTGGGTCGCGGGTGGGTCGCGGGCGCGGTTTGGGTCGCGGGTGGGTCGCAGGTTCTCCACCTGGAACGAATGCAAAAAAAACCGTCGCAGGCGCCGAAAATTCTGGGGTGGGTCGCGGGGTGGGTCGCGGGGTCGCGGGTGGGTCGGGGGGTCGCGGGTGGGTCGCGGGTGGGTCGCGGGTGGGTCGCGGGTCGCGGGTGGGTCGCGGGGGGTCGCGGGGGGTCGCGGGGGGGGTGGGTCGCGGGGTCGCGGTCGCGGCGGGGTGGGTCGCGGGTGGGTCGCGGGGCCGGTCGCGGGTGGGACGACGACAACAACAAACAGAAAACAACAAACAACAAACAAACAAACAAACAAACAAACAAACAAACAAACAAACAAACAACAAACAACAACAACAACAACAACAACAACAATAATTATTTTGATATTGTTCGCCCTTATATGTTCGAGTGTCCAATAATGCGTATTTCCCTAGCCTTCGATACCCGCCCTCTTCGTCTTCGATCGAGCCCCCTTTGGGGGGTACACCTTTCTTCCCTGCAAGCCGGGCCCCGGCAAGCGGCGGGGCGGCCGCGGACCGTCGGCCTGGCCAGCGGCAGCGCTGATCGGCGGGGCGGCCGCGGACCGTCGACCCGACCCCAAAAGGGACAGACACGGGACCGACCACGACGACGACGACGACGACGACGACGACGACGACGACGTCGAAGACGACGGCGACGACGACGACGGCGACGACGACCGAAAGCGAGAGCGAGAGAAAACGACAGCAGGGCCACGAAGGGCACGAAGGAGGCCACGAAGGGCGACAGCGGGGACACGAAGGGAATGCGTATGGGGCCACGAAGAGCGCGAACGAGCGGGCGCCACGAAGTGCAGATAATGCGGGGCCACAGAAGGCAACGATGGGGCCACTGAGGGTAGCAACTGGGCCACGTAGGACAGTGAGGGGGACACAAATGGCGACAGCGGGGCCACGAAGGGCACGCACATGGGGCCACAACGGGCGCGACTCCTGGGTGCCTGGGTGTCAGAAGCGCGGCGCTTGGGCAAATTGCAGGAAATTCCAACGCAAAGCAATTCTTCAGTAAGTTGCAAGCAAGTTTCCAGCGAGAGCGCGACTCCAGAGCGCCGGGAGAGCGATTCCTGAATGAATTGCAAGGAAGCCCCAAGCGAGAGCACGATTCCTGAATAAGATGCGAGGAAGTGTCGGGCGGGAGCGGGGGTCCTGGCTAAATTGTAAGGAAATCTCAGGCGGGAGCCGTTGTTGTTGTAACCCGGGGGCCAGGGGCCCAGTTTGAGCAGGAAGACCTTCCCTGTCAAAAAACAGGGTACGAGCGTCAAGGGGCACATTTTGATTGAGAAAAAAACCGTATGCACCGGTGGGGGGGGATCAACACAAATTAGTCTTTCGAAATGAGAATTCAACCACAACAACAAAAACAACAACAACAACAACAACAACAACAACAACAGCAGCAGCAGCAGCAACAACAACAACGGCAGCAGCAGCAGCAACAATAACAAGAATCCGCATCGCGGAATTCTCTACCTTCAGCCACCCACCCAGGGACAGTGAATGACCGTTCGGTTCAGCCCCCTCACTCTGATATGGGCCATGATGTCGTTTCAACGGGGTTCGGGGCCCCTCGCTGTCTCGGCGCCGACGTCCACGGACGGTGGGGGAATCAATCTCTAGTCCCAGCTCTGGCGCGGGAGCGTCGCCGCCTTTTCCCACCGCGAACTCGACGAGGAACAGACTTGGGATCAGTGCATATATGGTGGGGCGTTTGGTGGCTACTCATCAAATATCCGTGGCCCAGGCCGTTCTTCGCGAGTGGGGTGGCCTACCCGCGACGTCCGTGGAACCCGCCCCAGGCTTCGCAGACCTGGAGGTCCTGCGAGCCTCTCCTCTCCGCCCTCCCCCCCTTCCATTTCATCTTTCCGTGGCCATGTTGGCTCATGTTCGAAGCGTTGCCCCGGCGATTCGAATTCGGGCGTTGCCGAGGGTTTGACCCGAGCGTCCCGACCTGAGTTTTGGCCACGCAATCTTCTCCAGTCGCGCGCCAAAGCGCGCGCCTTTCTCGTCTTCCCACCATGGGCTCCGTGCCAGACACGACGGACACTCCACCGCGTGCTGTTGTCGTTCTCGGCTCGGCGATCGAGAGCCAAGGGGGCGTCAACGTGGACCAGGGCGAGCTTCCTCGCGCCAAGCAGGCTGGGTTTGGCGGACCCAGAGCTGCGAGGAAAAGTGGATCTTCCGATCCTTCGGGTTTCCAGAAGCAGTTCGCCATGTTGGACAACACCCAGGCTGGCCAGGCGAACCTCGCGACGAAAGGCGACGCGGAGGGCACGCGCGCCGAGATCTACGGCAAGAACAGCCGCATCGACCAGCTCACTGAGCGGATGGACAACCTCGGGCCCAGTCGCGCGATTCTCTCTTGGACGCACAGACCAAGGCGATCCCGGTCGTTTTGGACAGCAAGATCGCCCCGATTCAAAGCTCGATGCCACGGCCCAAGGCTTCGCGTTCGTCTGGATCGGCTTCCTCGCGCTCGTCGAGCACCCAGGCATCAGCATCGGTTTCGTCGGGCCCTCGCAAAGTGTGTGTCGGCGGTTTTCCTCGCGCCCCCTTTGGACGCGTCCTCGAGGCGCGCGGGCGTTCAGCGCTCGCAAATCTCACTGCTGCCGCGCGTGGGCGCGCGGTCGTGAAGGGGCACAAATTGCGCAAGAGCTACAGCATCGCCATCGCCGACGCGACCCATGCCAACGACTTCATCGAGCGGGCGCGGAACGACCCGCGCAGCAACCAGGCCATGCCCTTGCGCGTTGGGAAGGGCGCCGCCGCCGACATGAGAAGGTGGAACCATGTGTTCGGTTACTTGTGGAAGCGCGTCCGCACTCACCTGAGCGGCGCCAACCAGCGGGCGCCCAACGTGCACCTTGGTTCGCAGGGCGTCAAGGGCACTCTCTACCTCATCCAGGACGACGATGCCCGCCTGCTCTTCTACATGGAGGCTGGCGACCACGACCAGTTCACCATCGCGCCGAACTCTGCTGATCTAGAGCGCTTCGGTATGACCCCCGACGTGATCAGCCAATGGATCCAGGCTGCCCAGTAGGCGTGCCCCTTGCCAATCCGAGCTCGCGTGGATGACGGGCGCTCCAGTGCCACTCAGTACCTTTCACCCTGGCGAGGCTCTTGCTAGTGACCACGATGAAGCGCATCCTCTCAGACCACTGGCAGGAGCCAGCGGCCCCCGCAGGCGGCGTCGCCAGGTTTCAGCATTGCCAATTCGGGGCAGCTCGACCTCGAGCACCTCGTCTTCGTCTAGCGATCCCTCTTCTTCCTTTGAACCTGCCAGCGACTCCGAGCAATTCTCTCGGGGGTCACGTCCATTTCTACTAACTGCCAAGGCGAGCATTGTCTTGGAAGTGTTGTTCTCTCTTTGGGCTTCTAGGTTCTGGCACCCCGAAAAGCCACCGGGAATGTAGCGGACTGTTGGGTCTCCGGAAATCGCGAGATCATTTGCACTCATGAGGCCGAGGGGGCCCTGGAGGACCTTGAGATATTCAGGGGAAAGATCTACGACTCGTGCGCGGCCGGCACCTTCTGCCCCTGCCACGCCCAAGGGCGAACGACCGCCAGCGCATGCAGACCATGAGTGCCCACGACGACCCTACCCAGCTCATTCGCATCAGGTGGTAAGTATTTCTGAAGGCTAGACGATCCATGGCCCCAAGGGGCCAATCCTCTTTGCAACCCTGGCAGGTGATTTGAATGTTGCGGCTGGCGGGGAAAGACTCTATCACGCTGATGGACAGGTAGTACTTCCGTCGCTCAGGCCGGCGAGATGTTTCGAGCATGATTTCGTGGACCTCGTCGCGATCGATCAGGGCACTTTCGCGCGCAGGGCTACGCAGAGGGACGACAGCGGGATCTCGCATCGGGCCAGGATCGACCGCGCCCACCACGGGATGCCGTCGGCCGCGTTGCTAGACCTGGCCCCCTCGAGCGCGGCGCTAGCGTCGGCTACCGCTCTGCAGGGACTTCCCGAAAACGCGCCTGCAGCGTTCTCGCCAGCACCTCGCGGACAGGCTGCTGGCTACATCATGCCAAGATGGGTCGCGCGCCATCCCGAGTTTCAAGGGCGCGCCCGCCTTTGGACGGAGCTGGGGGCATGAGCGAAGACCCCAGAAATTGATCGCATCGAACAGCTCGATGTCAGCCCGACCGTGAATTAGCCAAGCAGGCCAAGTTTCACATGCACAAATCGGCAGGGGGACGATCGAAACGCCACACCCTTCTATCCTCGGTCTTCGACCCGACAGGCAAGCAGTTGAGCGATCCAGCAGAGGCGGCGCTGGAACTGGCGCGCCATTGTGGAGATACGCATGCCGCTGAGCAGCGCTGCGAAATTGCCCCGCGACGAGCTCGCGGACCTCATCGAGCATGTTCCTGGCCGCGTCGAGGACGTCGTGGAAGTTCCTGAGTTTCGCTCGGTGGCCCGTCGCAAACATGACTCGGCCCCTGGGCCCGGCGGCCCCCCGCGCTTGGCATGGCTTCCCGGCGGCGGGGCGCCGCGCCACGTATTATCCGAACTCGATCGGCATATCCTGACCCACGGGCATGTCGGAGAGCGTTTCAGCTGGGCGCGCACGGCTCTCAGTCCGAACTCGGACCACCAGGAAGCCACTCGTGCCGCAATATGGCTAGCAGCGCCTTCGAGCTGAAAGCTCTTGATAATTCCACGACCTCGCTCAGCGTGGATCGAAGCGGGCGGCGTCATCTGCCTTGACATCAGAGCTGCGTTCCCAATCTTGATGCACGGGGGTTGTTCTGGATTGGCGTTTTTTCCACAAGTTCTGGTGCCAGATATGCTTCCGCAGGCCTCAAGAATCAGGACGTTGGATTCTTCGTGGCATGGGGTAGGGGTGTCCGATATCGGGGTCGACGTGGGCCATCGCATTCGACCCTGTTCTCCGCTCCCTCTGCTCTCGCACCCCGGCTGGCGCGGCCCCGCGCGCAGCTTTTGCCGACGACGTCGGCGCCGTGACAAAAGACGCATTTAAGACGTTCCAGAGGGCTCTTTGCGTGTGAGGCACGGTCGCCAGCGCTTGTGGTCTGGTTATCTCCTGGGAGAAAAACCGTGCTCGTCTTGCCTGGCCTGATCTCGGGTGAGGAGATTCAGAGTGCTCTGCGTGCTTGCGTCGGCTCCTCGCAGAGCTGGACGATCCCCCAGGCCTGGAAGCATTTCGGGCTGCACCTGGGGCGGGAAGGGAACTCGAGATGCTGGGGGGGGGCCCTTCGGCCAAATGCCCACGCAGAACCAGGCGCGTCAGGGGTCTGGGAATCGGGATGCTGAATTATCCCAGTGCGACCCTACCTAGGAGTTGGAACCCCTAGGAAAGCAGCATTAGTAGTAACAGTAACGCTAAGCTAAAGCTAAGCTAAAGCTAAGCCACAGCTAAGCTAAAGCTAAGCTAAAGCTAAGCTAAACCTGAGCAGCAGCTAAGCTAAAACTAAGCTACAGCTAAGCTAAAGCTAAGCTACAGCTAAGCTAAAGCTAAGCTAAAGCTAAGCTAAAGCTAAGATAAAGCTAAGCTACAGCTAAGCTCAAGCTAAGTTAAAGCTCAGCTAAAGCAAAGCTAAACGCTAAGCGAAAAGCTAAGCGAAACGCTAATCTAAAGCTAAATTACAGCTAAGCTAAAGCTAAGCTAAAGCTAAAGCTAAAGCTCCCAGGGGACGGGGGAACCGCTCCCAGGGGACCGGGGGAACCGCCCGGGGCGTGTAGCATTGCCCGGCCCCTTTAAGCTAAGAGAGTAAGAACCCTTCTAGGCAGAGCCTAGGTAGGGAAAAAGCTCTCGCTGTATAACATGCTCTGCTTCAGCGTGCTCAGCCATGCGATGCAGTTCTTTAGCCGATCCTCTCCTGCGCCGCGGGCGGGGCACAATGGAATCCAGATGCTGTCCCAGGGGCCCCGCGGCGCTTCAACTTCCCAGGCCACGAAAAACTGGAGAGTCCATCCAGTGGCCCATCCAGCGCCACGATCTCGACACGGTCTCGAGGGCTGCGATGCACGGGAACGCGCGCCGCTCCGACGCTCTGCTTCCGTCCATCCAAGAATTCCACCAGTTTGAGGGAATGTATCATCTTCTGGAAAAGTGGCCCGATTTGGCTACGGTAGGTTTGCGTCGTGTCGACCAGCGGCGACCCCAGCGCGGGCGTTCAAGGTTGAACGCCGGCGGCGGCCCAGAATCGATCGATGTTGAACGATCGGACGTTGCGGCAGCGGCCGATCGTTCAAGGTTGAACGATCCCTGCGGTGTCAGAAACCAACGCTGGGGTCGGCACGACACGAACCTGCCGTACAGAGTTCGCTGTATCAGGTCCGGCCGAACTACCGCTCCATATGTGGGAGCCAAAAAATACCCCGAGCATGTTCACGAAATTGCTCCAGAAAAATACAGCAATTCTCGAATCAGTCTGATCTTGGCGCGATAGAACTGACGAGTAGCCGTCTTCGTCATGCCGGCCCCGAGGTGAGCCAATCAGGTGTAGAAAATATGGTGGTTGTTCTGTCCATAATTATCTCTGAGGCCCCTTTCGCCGAGGTGTTTTTAGTGCGTTGAAAACGGTCTGCAATGCCTGGTGTACCTCTAGTATATTCAGATGCTCAACTCAGAAGTGTCTGGCGTGTCGCTGCACGGGAGGCGACTCTACGCACCGCTACCTAGCCTGCCCGCCCTTCGGCCGCCTGTTCCCCTATCTCCCCCATTTCCCGCTCACTTTCTGCAGTGCGAAGTCTCAGGAGAAGTTGTGCATGGCTAGTGTTCTTCCTTGCTTTATCGAATGTATGCTCAGTATTGGCATGTCTGTCAACTATGTGTTGTCTATCCATCACACGTGTAGACAGAAATCTAGGAGTCCGAGCCTAACGATCGACAGACTCGGTCGAGCCAGGCTCGTTGCCACGTGTCGCGGGTATTCTCGCATCGCCTCGATCGCGGTTGCTGGAATGACTGCCAGCGCCGCTCAACCGCCTGCGCCGCCCGTCGAGGCGGGCCTCGAAGACCCACGGGGCGGGGATCGCCGTTTGAGGCATAGGAATGAGGTCCGGTCGGCCCGTTTCCTATGCTCCCTCATTGGAGAAGAGTTCCTCCTCCTCCTCCTCCTCCTCTTCCTCCCCTCCTCCTCCTCCTGCTCCGCTTAAAACAGCGCGGTTTCACTTGTGATGCTGCGCGCATATAATGTTCCACCCCGCGCTCAGCCTGCTGTTTCGGGCCCGACGTTCGCTTCCGCAGGCTCATGCATTAGGCGAGAAAGATGTTCCAAGGTGGGAAGCGAAAGGAACAGAAAAACAACAAAACAAGCTAACATAACAATTACCCGATGATGGTCTACTACCGTCAATATCATTGTCGTTTTCGTCCAAGTCGTTCATGCCACCAATCGCATTGGGCAGCACAGACCTCTGGAACGCCAGCCAGTCGCACGGATTCGGGATGGGCTCGAAAAGCCTTTCGCCCATCTCTTCTGCACCGTGGAGAAATCCGCACGTTTTGAAGAGAAATGCCACATAGTTTTTGAGGAGCGCGGGAAGCCGGGTAGGGAGGTACTTTACTTGGTGAGAGGGGTTATTTATGCGCGTGCTGGTGTTTGCCATGTCTTTCGCACGTGGACAGTGACATGGGCTCCGATTGGATCATGCAAGTGGGACAAACAATAGGATTCACAACCGTTCTTGCGAGAGCAGAAGATGTTCGTTGTTGTATTGGTTGACAACACCATCTTGATTCAATCGGAAATCGGTGTCCTCTTGTCGGATGGAAGATGACGGTTTCAACAAGTGATCGCAAGTTTGAATAATTGCACACGGGCTTCAATAATTGTAAACATTGGCTTCAATGATTAGAAATAGCGTGTTCTACCGCTGCTGGCGGAAAACTGGGGGGGGGGGTCACTACCAGTTCGAACCCCTCCCCCCCCCTCTGGAAAACCGGGGGGGGTGACTACGGGTTCGAACCCACCCCCCCACCCCAGTTCATCATGAAAAGGGGGGGGTCACTACCGGTTCGAACCCCCCCCCCCTCGAAAACCGGGGGGGGTCATTACCGGTTCGAACCCCCCCCCCCCCTCCCCCCCCCTCCTCGAGAACCAAGGGGGGGGGTGCGGACAGTGGTGGGGACGGTGGTGGTGGGGACAGTGGTGAGGGGACAGCGGGACAGTGGTGCGGACAGTGGGACAGTGGTGGGGACTGTAGTGGTGGGGACAGTGGTGAGGACAATGGTGGGAACAGTGGGGACAGTGGACAGTGGTGGGGACGGTGGTGGTGGGGACAGTGGTGTGGGGACAGGGGAGGTGGAAACAGTGGGACAGTGGAGGGTACAGTGGTGGTGGGGACAGTGGTGAAGGCGGTGGCGAGGACGGCGGTGGGACAATGGGACAGAGGTACAGTGGGGACAGTGGTGGG